AAACAGACGGAGCGGGACACTTTGAGACGGATGAGAGAGGTCCAAGGGAGTTTTGGTATAAAATTACATGGTTGCAAAAGCTCAAAATCTTCTTGAAATATCGCCCGAAAACGATAGTCCAACAAACAGACAGAATATATAAATTTACGACCTTGAACTTTGACCTTTTGACCTAAAAATCAATAGGGGTCTTCTTTAGGCCACGGGGAGTTGTTATGTAAAATTTCATTGCAATAGCTAAAAGGATTCTTGAGATATCGCGCGGAAACGAAAGTGTTATAACAGACAGAATAAGCGAATTTATGACCTTGACCTTTGACCTTTTGACCTCAAAATCAATAGGATTTTTCTTTAGTCCATAGAGAGTTGCTATGCAAAATTTCAATTCGAAAGCTCAAAGGGTTCTCGAGATATCGTGTGGAAACGAAAGCGTAACAGACAGACAGAAAGACGGACGGACGGACAGACCCAAATTAATATCCCCCACTTTTCAAGCGGGGGACAGAAAGAAAATATACAACTGTTACAGTTACTCGACTTACTCCATTTCTTCATACGTGAATTTGTTTGATACATGTAAACAGTATGTCGCATGCTTAGTACGTACTGATGATCAGTTTCATATTGATCTAGTAATGTGATAACAAGCTAATTCAGAGAATTTGTGTCCCCCCGCTTAGGGAAAAAGTAAACCATGCGCAGTTCGGGGGGGGGGGGGGGGGGGGGGGAGGAGAGTTGGATCCCCCTGACTTAATTTGTAAAATTATTAAATTTATAAATGTATAATGAAGCAAAAAAAATATGCCAATATGGATATAAAGGTTTGATTGCTTATTCTTTATTATGTGTATAGAAGATTTTTTTATAGGGAATATTTATCACATTGTAATGATGATTTTATGAGTTTGTACAAGCCAGACCTCATAAATTTTCCATTTCACATGAATACTATCATTTAGTTAAAAAAAAGTATTTCGAACAAAAACCAGAAGTCTCTGTCGAGACTGTAGCTCTACTGGTTTGTACTAATAACAAAGGATGAGAAAAGAAGCCATTGCCATCAGACCAAAACTGTACATGTAGAAGGAGTAGCGTTTTAAAGGAATTTCACAGAAAATTCTATTTTTAGTAACCATGGCAATACTGTTCATCGAAATCAAAAACCGATGCACTGTTTTTATGTATCTTTAAGTAGTTTACTTGTGTGTCAAGTTATATTAACATCAGACCAAAACTGTAGAACGAGTAGAGTTTTAAATGAATTTCATAGAAAATTCTATTGTTAGTAACCACGGCAATCGTTCATTGAAATCAAAATCAGATGCACTATTTTATGTATCTTAGTGTAGTCTACTTATGTGACAGGTTATATTGAAATCAGATCAAAACTGTAGGAGGAGTAGCATTTAAAGGAATTTAACAGAAAATTCTATTTTTAGTAACCATGGCAACAATAATCATCGAAATCAAAAACCGATGCACTAGTTTATGTATCTTAGTGTGGTCTACTTGTGTGCCAAGTTATATTGAAATCAGATCAAAACTGTAGGAGGAGTAGCATTTTAAAGGAATTTAACAGAAAATTCTATTTTTAGTAACCATGGCAACACCATTCATCGAAATAAAAAAACGATGCACTATTTCATGTATCTTAGTGTAGTCTACTTGTGTGCCAAGTTATATTAAAATCGGACCAAAACTGTAGGAGGAGTAGCGTTTTGAAAAATTGTTTACAGACAGACGGACAGACAGACAGATAGACAGACAGACAGACGAACGGACGACGGACACCATACTATCGCATAAGCTCTTCTGTTCTCTGACCAGTAGAGCTAAAAAATTAGATCGCTCGGGATGCGAACCCGGGCCCTCTCCCATGTGAAGCGAGAGACATACCACTAGACCATGGAGCCGCTTTAATTGAGCGAAAATTATATTATATATGCAAAGATGAAGTCACATACATGTATATATTCACGTTCGATATTGTCAAAATTTTACACAATGCATGATATCTAATATAACCTTTATTAAACAGTTCTAATAGATGTAATAAGAATATAAAGTCCACCGAGAACCTGTTTTATACGTAATAACTCTCCTCATGCCTCTGTGCTAAAAATAGCGACATGTAATACAAATACTAATAAAACATGTAATACAATAAATACTAATTAAACAAACGGGGCGGGACACTTTGAGAGGGGTGAGAGAGGTCCTAGGGAGTTTTGGTATAAAATTACATTGCATATGCTCAAAATCTTCTTGAAATATCGCCCGAAAACGATAGTGTTTCATTCAGACAGAATGTATAAATTTACGACCTTGAACTTTGACCTTTTGACCTCAAAATCAATAGGGGTCTTCCTTCGGCCACAGGGAGTTGCTATGTAAAATTTCATTGCAAAAGATCAAAGAGTTCTCGAGATATCGCGCGGAAACGAAAGTGTTATAAAAGACAGAATTTGCGAATTTATGACCTTGACCTTTGAAGTCAAAATGAATAGGGTTCTTCTTTAGTCCATAGAGAGTTGATATGCAAAATTTCAATTCGAAAGCTCAAAGGGTTCTCGAGATATCGTGTAGAAACGGAAGCGTTACAGAGAGACAGCTAGACGGACGGACGGACGGACCCAAATTAATATCCCCCACTTTTCAAGCGGGGGACAAAAACAGTACTATCACCAACTGAATAACAGGATATAATCGTTTCTTATTAGAAATTGATCAGAATAAAATATAAAACGATCAGTTATATACGAGGGTTGTTAGAAAAGTTCGAAGACACATTGAATTGCGTAAAATCTATTGTGTACTGTGAAGTATGACCTATGTCTGAATAAAGTCCTACAATTTGTTTATTGGTATGTAAAAAATCAGGTCCATATACTAGAATCTAGAAAATTTACAACGATTTTTTCTATGAGGTCGTGGGATTCACGGAGCAATCTCTTGACGTAAGGCGATGTGACTATCAGATTTCAACTCGTTAAGCTTTGTCGTAGTTCTATAAATCTTTCATTTCTTCAGATTTTTGTCATCTTTTTTCTACTTTAAAATTAAATATCTTTAACAAGAGATGTCACTTTTTTACTATAATGTCTTTTGTACCGATTTGGATATTATTGAGATCTTTAAAAAGTTTATGCAATGAATCGAACAGGTATGGAAACTATGCGAATCCATATAGGCACAACGCAACGTCCATGCGATAAGAGGGTATTAAAGTATCGATGGAGTTAATCATTCAAAATGTTAATCCTTCCATTCTTAGGAAGCTACAATCATTTCAAAACTTTTGTCCTTTGTGTGTAGGAAATTCCCAGCATCATCATGAACATTTTAATCTCTGTTTAGGCATTTTCCTGTCTGCACACATAATTTTACGAAGTGCATTGCTCCATGACACTCAATGACGTTCAAATTTTTGGCTGTGTTTTTACGCGTTGATCAATTACAAACGGCTATAAAAACAGTCATATATCCTCAAATTTAGTTCAAAATTTCTCCAAGTGACGTTTTATGAATATCTTAGCGGCAGGTAAAATATCATAAATTTCTTTCGCAACAATTGTGCAATTTTAAATTTTCAGATGTAAATGTGCCAAAATGTAACATGCTCCGTGAGGCAAGTTTTATCAAAGTAAAAAAACTGTCTGTTTTTTAATGATCACCGGAGATCACCAAATTCTTGTTTATTTATTGGAAAAAATGTTAAGATTTTATCTAGAAAGTTTGACCGGTTTCGTGGAAATAGCGCGCTCACAATAGAACTTGTCCGCGAACTTTTCTTAACACCCCTCGTATACGCATTTCTTTAGAAAATGATACTATTTTTATGAAATAAGTTAAATTTTTATTGTTAATGCTAAAAATGAACAGTAAATTTTATAATCAACAGTAGTACATAGAATTACACATCATTAAAATTGCAATTGTTTAGTCATATCTGTATCATGTACATGCGTAATTACATGAACTACATCTTGTAAAGTTGAAGATATATTTTAAAAACATGTAGAATCAAATTCAAACGGTATTGACACTAACTCAATATCATTAAAGAGACTTTACAATAAATTTCATTAGAAATTACACATTTTGAATAAAATTCAAGTTGAATTATGACAAAACTTCAAATGGGACCAACTAATAAAAATCGCACAGAATCTTTTTCTAAGATTTTAAAAATATATTAATATTTCAACAAATTTCTATGCCCTGAGACAACTGGTTCATGATATTTTTAATTACCAGGTATTAAAAAAAAACCAAAACTGATGAAATCTCTAAATAATTAATTTTAAAGAATACATTTACCTTTACATTATTAATAATTTCTAGTATTTTACATTTCATGTACATATTACCCAATTTAACATTCATGTACACCACAAAAATACCAGTATAACCGAACGTGAAAAAAATGAATTAAAGTGCACTCTGTAGGAGGAAGTCGCCATCTTGCATCAAACAGTAGTCTCCGCAGTGGAATGCGCATTCGACTATTGTTGTCATCTGATGGCGCCTCTAACTCCTACATTACTTTCACTAAAATGTAAAAATACAAAAAATAAATCACAACCTAAGCAGGGTGATCTGCAAGATGCCTAAGCAAAAGTTGCAATTACGTTATACAGAGTGTCTGATTTGAAAGAAAAAAAACGTTGTACAAAAAGTTCACTTAAATTTTGCAATAGTAATAGAGTATATATATGTAGAACTTTGCTAATGCATTGAATGACATTTAGGGTTTTTGGTTTATGAAAACCATAATGAATTGAGAACTAATAACTCACAAATCAAGTATTGGCTTCCCCAAAACTCGCTAATTTTCGTTTTATTTTTCTGCTTTTCAGCCGTACTCATAACCATTTACCATGTTAGTAAAGCCTCCCATTTTGTTTCAAAAGACAAATTCAATAGTATTCACTACAAAAATTCGTGCTACTATCTAAACATGGAAAATCACATATAATTGAATTGCTTTTTTGGGGGGGGGCTCCCTTCGTTCTCATTGGAAATACTCTAGTGTACATCTCAAGTGGCAAAATCATTGCACCAATCTTTTAAAACAATCGAAAGTTGATGTTGCTTCAATATAAAAACAATTCTATTCAATTTTGCTCAACCAGAGTGTAAAGTTACCTCCTTTTAATTAAACAAGATGTACTTCTATATGGTATCGATGTTATTTAAAGAATACATGTATCGATCTTCCCCTGAACACTCAATGATGGGCTATGATTTTGTCCCAAATCGTTTTTATTTTTTTTTTATCCCAAACTCAGTTCTACGTGTCAACCGTTCACATAATCCTTTACTTTGTTATAAAAGCCTGCCATTTTGTTTCTAAAATTCAAATTATATAGTATATTTACTACAAAAATTTGTGCTACTATGTAAACATGAAAAATTACATACTATTAAATTGGTGAAAAAAGAACAATTATCATAATGTAATCTAGTTCAAATAATTTTTAACATACTTTAAACGAAACAATTCAAGTGCAATATTAATATGGTGATTAATAAGAGGCATACAGGCCACAACGCTCACATGAATCGCATTTGCCGTCCTTGCCCCTGAGTCACAAAATTCGGACCAGCTCAATTTCGATCTCGGTCTCACTTTTTTCATCTTATATTCCTTTCATAAAAGTGAACGTGAGATCAAAAGTGAGCTCGTTCAAGTTTTATGGCCCGGGAAAGTCCCTTTTAATATTTTTATCGTCCATATTAGAAACTATCCCAATTTTATCATCAATGTGACGAACCTGTAAAATTTTAGCCATCCTTGAAAATGACCCCTCCTTTACAACTTCAAATGATTCAACATGAACTGTTCAAGGTCATAATAATGAAAAATACAAATAGTAATAACCATTTCCATTTGAAAAGGGGCGAGACTCTATTTGAACAAACTTGAATCCCTTTCATATGAGGATGCTTTTCGGCAAATTTGGTTGATATTAGTTCTCACTGGTTCTAGGATAAGTGGAAAATAAGTCTGAAAATTTTACAGACACCAACAGATGATCAGCACTATTTAATCAGAAAAGATAACTTCACGTGTGGCTCAGGGAGTTTTGACAAGTTACAGAAAAACATCTATTGAACTACAGGTACATGTGCATGTCAGTTAGGGCTTACATCATGGTATTTGATTTTTCTACATCTAATCTAAATGAGCATGAATTATCGTTGACATAATCTGAATAGAGCATCGATAACATTAAATATTGAATTTAATTTTCGATTTAAGTTGTACTAAGATGATCCTTATTATGCATCTCACCAAACTGATTCTTTTCGTTTTTCATTCCCAATCGGCGTTAAGCAAGGCCCTCACTTAAAGGCAGAGATTTTAAGCACCGCCTTCAAAAATACCTCGTCTGGGTAGCCCTGTCAATCAAGTGCATGAGGGTCCTTCATTGGATGCTGTAACTTGATTGACATTTACTTACTGGTCCATGTGTATATCCGGTACACCTTGTTTGGGACTCGTGGGGACCTTCAAAATAACTCAGTCATGATCCTTTGATGTTTACCGAACATGGTATAGAGAAACTGTATTACTATGAAAAATTTTATCTTGATAATACGTGTATAAGATTTAAATATACCTTTAGTATTTGAAAGGATTATAATACAATATGTATTTTTAAAATTAACCTTTGGTATATAAAACTTAAATTTTCAAATGAAATTCTGATATTTGTTTTAGATGGGATCCTGGGGATGAATGAATTAAGACTAATTTGGATGTTACAGAAATTGTTTTTTTTTTATATTAAAACACATACACTAACATTTAAAACGATCTTTGTTTTAATATTTGAATTTATAGTATGATATCATAATAATTTTTTAATGGGTAGGAGTGTTTTCAAACAGTTAAAAATAAATCAATATATTCAATTGAAAAACCTTTTTATTACTTCTTTTAAAATTGTCTCAAAATCCCTAACACAGGTAAAGTTTGGCATCTGGGTATTTCACTGTGTATTAAATCACTTCCTGTGTATAAGGATTAGGAGACAGATGGCCACAGATAGACTGCTAGCCCCCCAGGCATTCACACCTGTACAAAGTAAGCACCTCCCTCACCTGGACTTTACCACTCGGTAAAAAATCTCTGTCTTTAATAGCCAACCTTTTCAAAGCTGATTGGTTGATGGGCGGAGTTAAAACAAAGGAAAACAGAAGCACAAAATACGTTTGTCAAGTCCTCTGCCTAATTACCAGTAAATACCTAGTTACCCAATGTCTTGAACATATCAATTTTCAACTAATCAGCATCAAGGAAGGCGATAAATGAAGAAAATTGATGGAAAAGAATAGCTCTGAATCTTTCGTTATGTGAAAAGAATCAGCTTGGTGAGATGCATACTACATATTTGTAATGGTGACTTAGAACTTTATACAAACAAAAAAGAACACAAATGATGGGATGCCAAATTAAGAGAATTATGATCATAAATGATATTTGTACAATGATTTCAACCTGAAGTGCAAGATACAAATAGTGGCCATTAGCATTCACGTGGTATCAAAGTACTCTGTTATTACGTAATACTCGCACGCGTGGCACAGTGGTCAGAGCTGTGGAATATGAAATTAATCCTTATGTATCCTTCGGATGTGACGTTCAATAAATCGCGGTCTTATGTCGCAGAAGATGCTGGCACGAAAAATAATCCCTCATTGTACAAAGTAATCGTCTAAATTTGCAGCCCTCCATCAGTAAATGGTGACGCCTCGATCCATATGAGAGAAACATTCTTAAAAGGAATGTTAAACAAACAATACAAACATTTTTTATCTTTCACATTAAGATTGATTGATCGTATCGTTCGTAGAATTTGTTTTAAATACAAGTAGAGACGTCACAATTTATCACTGAAGGACTTCAAATTTTAGACCTTTACTCGGAACTCAGGGATATTGAACAGTGAGTGATCGATCTTGATCGCACTAACGCTCGTCATGACGTGGTCTCCTATTTTAAGGTCTCATCCGCATGACCCGAAATCTTCCTTTAAATTGCTAAGCGCTTGGCGAAGGGACACTTGTCATTTTTTTTCGACTTGCGTCAGTCTCGGTTGTGGTTCGAACCCACGAATTTCCGATCACGGAGTGGGTGCTCTACCAGAAGAGCATCAGTTCAGTGAAGTTCAAAAAGGCAGCAATAGGACTGACTTGAAAAAATTCACCTTATCGTATTAGATCTCTATAAAAATAATACATGTAACCTAAAATGACGTATCTATGTTTACTGCTCATGAGACCTATATCAGCTACATGAAATTCGGGATTCACTTTTTCTTTTCAATGCTGTTGATACATATGTCGTTGGTCTATTCGTAGGGTTTTCATAGCATAGACAAAAGCTTATTCTGTTTTCAGTTTGTAGACATTCAAGCCCTTGCTGGAGCTGGAAACAAATATATTTTCCATCCCATTTACCGCAGTAAACAAAAGTGGGGTATAAAACATCCGAGTCATTTTGGCGCACTCTTTTAAGAAATAACAAAGCACCACTTTCTCTAGGACTTCCAAATGACTCATCGGCGGACGTAACGATGTCAACACGCTGGAATCCAATGTTTTCGTCAAGCTCCAAACTCTGAAAACCCTCATAACGACCGTATTGTGGCTTTGAATCTGTTTTCCATTTAAGGACATCTTCACCCACATGATTTCTAACGCTATCATGATCAGGCAATTGTGTTATATGTGTTAGCTTTGGATACGCACCTTTTATATCTCTCTCACAACTGGGAGTAACCCCAGTAGCGACTTGTCCACAACTTATATCAATATATGCTCCAAATATATTTTTCTTCTCTGGTCCAAATGTATATCGATTTATACCAAGCAAAGGTTTTGAACAGGCACAGTGACTTGTGTGACATTCATTCACTGTAGGAAAGCGGCTGACCGTAGTATATACTACGGTCATCAAAACATGTCGGCCGAGGTCACCGCTTAGAATTTTTCAGTCAAGATTTTAAACATTTGCTAGGTTATCTGCGTTAATTCTTGCAAAATTTAAATGTACGCTAATGAGAATTTGCTATAGGTCAGTATAACTTACTTGAATTTAAAGAAATAAAGCTGTAGTAGGACCTCAAAGTTTTTGACAATGATGACCGTAACAAAATATTAAGATGACCGTAATATAGATTTTTCCCAATGAAGTACGATGACCGTAATATATAAATATAATCTAATGTGTTTTCTTTTCCGTTGTAGAGGCAGACATATCATGTTATTTTTGTGTTAAAAAAGACAAAGATGTTAATGTAATTTTGAACCATAGCTATGGCACGCCAAATTCACAAAATGAGCTAAACATAGTTTCACAGTCAATAAACTACGTTTATTGCTTGTAAACTATAGTTTACGGACTGTAAACTATAGTTAACAGCGTTAACCTATATTTTACATCTGTAAATAATATTTAACGCAATTATCTATGTTTCACAACCGTAATCTATACTTAACACCGAAAACAATCATTTGCAATTGCAAAACATAGATTACCTGATCAATACAGTTTCACGATTTGTAAACTATGGTTTACAATTCTTAACTATAGTTAACGATCTGATAAATAAAGTTTCACGATTTGTGAAACTACGATAAACAATTCTTACCTATAGTTTACGATTGTAAATTATAGTTTTCAAACGTGAATCTATGTTTTTCAACAAAATCTAATGTAAAACGCTTTATTAAAGACAGATAAACTTAGATTACCATTTGTAAACTATAGTTAATTAACAACCGTTAAATATAGTTTTACACATGAAAACTATAGTTCATGGTTTGTAAACTATAGTTTACAGTCGTAAAACCTAGTAGTTTATCAACTGTGAAACTGTGTTTGGCTCATTTTTGTGAATTTGACGTGCCACACACTTAACAAAACTTCCAAGTATTCACTTTAATCAATATATTTATTTTAAAACTATTTATAGAATGGTATGATATTTTCAAATTATTGCACAAATGAGTATTCTTAACAAATGTAGAAAGAAAATAAAGTATCACCGATGAAAACCAATGTTCTGTGACGAAACGTACAGGCAATAAATTTGTATTTTGCGTGTTTTGTGTAATTTGCATCTTTTTGTGATCATAATCAAATTGAAAAAACTGGGGGGGGGGGGGAACCAGCCTTTCAATGAACATTTCCAATAGTAAAAGTAATGTTGGGAAAACAATGGGGGCTGTACATGTAGCTTGAAGTACAATATATAGATACCATGTTACATGGTATCTATATATAGTAACAGGTGTTTTCCGTTAAAAAAAAAAACTTGAGTCGGCCGTATCGTCGATAATTATAAGACAGCTAGGCCTATAGCTCTTTTAGAATGTATAAATAATATAAATAAATACATTATCAAGGAAAGAAAATTAAAACATACTCATTTCATGCAGATTCGCATTCAAAATTTTCAAATAATCGATTATTGCCATGGAGACTAGAGGAAGGTGAAAATTCTTTAACTTTGATTTTTAAATCAAAGAACTGAAAGGACTTATAAGAATTGATCTTCGCTAATGGGTATTGTTTTAGTGATACAAAAAATTAAAGTCTTGTCCGAAATTATGAATAGTTGCCATGGAAATACGGGAACAGTTCGGGGCGACATACGCTATTGCTAGCAATAGTAAACTCTCTAGTTGTACTTGATATTACTTTTAAAAATTAACAAACAGTATCAAAACCCACTTAAGCACATATTTCTATATGTTGTGCGTCATTTTTCATCGATCACCAAAATAACACAATTTGAAAGTTTTTGACAAATTCAACGAAACCGGAATTGACCTTGATCTTCGTCTGAGGACAAAATTTCGCATCACACCAGGGTAAAAGGTTGGTAAATTGTCCAGAAACAATCTTCAGAACATGAAAACAAACAATTTCAATCGTACGAAAATGTTAACCAAAAAAAAAAATCCGTGCTCGTGACAGTCTTATTTCAGTCCAAGTACTCAGTAGTCTGAATCGGTGCACTTCGATCGTGCTTCACTCTCTAGAATATTAACTACAAGGCATCTGTGTGAAGATACACTGTCAACTACCCGGATCATAATCCCATTGAACATAATTAGGATTTAATGAGAAAAGTAAAAGCCCTCCCTTTCCACACAATTTCGACTGTTTGGAAAGAACTATACAGTAGGTGTGGCAGCAGATGGGTCAATCTCCTATTCAGGGGTACATGGTATCCAACAGTAAAAATTGTCTTGAAGTAATTAGAGCAAGTGGTGGTCATACTCCATATAGATTTTTTTGTGAATTTTTAATTTTGAGGGTACATCATTTCCTTGAAACTTTGCTTAAAATTCTGACGAGATACATGAAATTTCTGCAACATTGAACTTAATTAAGCATCATCAACCAAGAATTAAAGAAATCATTTATTGTTTGCATTTATTCTTTAAAACCTCATAAAATGTAAGGTGAACACTTAGAAGTTTGGTTCAGTGTACATAGCATATTTCACCATTTGGAAGCGAGGTAAGGGTTAGGGTTCAGCATACGTAAAATAGAACTTAATGCAGAAACTGAAAAAAAACTATATATAAATATATTCACTTTCCTATATACTTATCTGGACTTAAAGAAAACAAAAATCAGTAATGGATATACAGTGTGTATAAATGTTGAGAGTAAAAAAAATGAAGTTCATGAAAGTAAACGTCAGCAGCAATGTGAGTTTGGACAAGATGCTGAGACTAACACAGAAAGCAGTGAACTTCACAGTGTTCTTTCTGATGTTATCAGGAAAATGGAAGAAATTGGTCGTTTGGATGATTTTTGTGCATTAATGAAAAACATCAGAACATGGCAACATTGCACTCCACTTGCATAGGGGCTTGTCTTCCGGATTGATAAATGTAAAATAATTTTTCAAAAATTTGTATCTACATTAAATGCACTCTAAAAATTGCTTTAATAAAGATTCTGACATGATCAGGCGAGAAAAAAAATGTTTAAAAAAAAAGTACTACACCTATATACATGAGAGTTTATGTATATAGGTAGAGAACTTTTTAAAAAAAACATTATTTTTCTCGCCTGATCATGTCAGAATCTTTATTAAAGCAATTCTTAGAGTGTATTTAATGTAACATGCGCGGATCTAGAGGGAGGGTCGGGGGGTCAGGACCCCCCCTTGAATTTACAAGGCTGAAAAATGTATATACTAAGACAAGAAAAAAGTTACCAAGGACCCCCTTGGAAAACACAGACCCCCCCTGGTAAACGCAAATATGTGTAAAATGGGTACGAAAAGTGGAAGAATTGAGGCAATAGAAGTCCCCACTACCCCCCCCCCCTTCCCCGAAATAGTTTTTTGATGTTGGGGGAGTTTATGTTTTTTTTTTGTTTTTGTTTTTTTTTTTTGTTTTTTTGTTTTGTTTTGTTTTTTTGCTGGACAAGAAATTTTTGGGATTGGATTTATTTTTGACTGAGGTGGACCCCCCCCCCCTGGAAAAATTTCTGGATCCGCGCCTGTGTAGATACAAATTTTTGAAAAATTATTTTACATTTATCAATCCGGATGACAAGCCCCTAAGTCCACTTGTTGCTTGATATCGGCAAGTTCTATAAACAAAGGACGGTTTATCACATGAGATATTGTGATGAGTCACTGTCATTTTGGGTAACAGTTGTAATTAAAACTGCTTGAAGGGCGAGGTTTGTTTTTTCAGAGGAGGACTAGGACTTACAAAGTAGTGATGGTCGCAATATCAATATTATTCCTAAAGAATGCAAAATAAACTTAATAGTCGCAATTATTATTATTATTTTATATGTATAATGTATATAACATTGTATAATAATACAGAAAAAAAATAGAATAAGGTCGAAGAAAAGTGTTACTTTTTCAAGATTTTTTTCATTCATAATACTTTGTTTAACATTCTAAATTAACCGTGGCTTCTCTTATCGATAAGTATTAAATCAATCATATTTAAAACGTTTCAGTTCTTTTTTATGACCTCCATACTATTTAGTATATAGATCTTGTATAATGTAATCTGTATTGAACATCTAGTACTTTTATTGAATAAGATATTTTCGTCTCAGTTGCTTTTGTACATATACTACGGTCATCTCTATAATTATATTACGGTCGTCATCTACTGTGTTGAGTGTGGTTATTACGGTCATCATTGTCAAAATCTTTGAGGTCCTACTACTGCTTTATTTCTTTAAATTCAAGTAAGCTATAATAACTAATAGCAAGTTCTCATTAGCGTTCATTTAAATTTTGCAAGAATTAACACAAATAACCTGACAAATGTTTAAAATCTTGACTGAAAAATTCTAAGCCGTGACCTCGGCCGACATGTTTTGATGACCGTAGTATATACTACGGTCAGCCGCTTTCCTACAGTGATTCATTGCAGGTTTCAAAATAAACAGAAATACCTCCTTCGGGGGCAACATGTTTACTAGTAAGAAAGTACAAATCCTCCAATTTCTTGTCGATTCCATACAGCTCAGTAAAAATTGTTAGCCTTCCGGCATTCCCCCCTTTGATAGATGCACCTGCTTTGTAGTGAAATACTGGTTTCTTCCATGGCCTGAGCGTGGAATCGTCAACTTCGAAATAATTCCCAACGGCTTCCTTGACGTCCATTAAAACTTGGCAATTGTTTTTTAGTGTTTCCTCATCAACAGATACGGTGAATTTTTCATTCAAAATTCCAAAAGCTTTTACACCAGGAACTCTAAATAAAGATAACATAAAATTTCAACCTTAGATTTACAGGAATAATCGCACTTTGTTACTCAATCTTATATTACGTATAGTTAATTGTTCGAAGAGTTTTCTATTCAAAAATGCAAGGACCTACAAATATTGGAAAGTTTGTGCCTTAAAGATTCAACTCAGTGGAACATTTAGTTCTTAAAAAAGAATACCATCGAAAGATGAAACATTTGAAAATATAGAATAAATAGAATAGGCATAAAATCACTAACATTATTCGCAATAAACGCTTCATTATAATATTGGAGGATAAAGCAAAGTTTGAAATAAAGTTTGAATCTCTGAAATATTCTGAATCCCCTGTAGTCATGGACACTCTTGTAGATTCTGAAATTATGACAAAAAAAAGAGGACACTTGAAACATCGCCTACCTAAGTTATTCGTATAGCCCTTCTGTTTTCTTCCAGGTTTTAAGAACAACTTACACATACTTACCCGGTATTTCTTCAAAAATTGATTCCATATTATAGCACCGATCTAACTCTAAGGGTCTCTGAATGAAATGTTTGGATAAAGAACGGTATGCGAGCTCAAAAGTCCATTGAAAATTAAAAAAATAGGAGTGGATCGAACACGGACCTCCACTTGTTATGTTGGGGGGGGGGGGGGGGGGAGAACAAATCCGTGGACAAGTCAGTGTGTAATCCACGCGGATGCTTGCTTCAAAATCATTGTGACTTATAAAGCCTTGCAGTTCTGGAAAAGGAAATTCCAGCATACATTCTTTATTCGAGATTAATCTTTGTGATTTTGACTTTGTTAAAAATATTTGTTGTCGGCAATGATCTTTCATATGGAGAAGCCACCACTTGTCGGTGGACATCTGCTAATTTTGGCCTATACTCGGCACTCGGGGCCATTGAGCAGTGGGGGGTTCTTCATCTCGCCATGCAATTCCAACTGCGACATAGGGCCTCAGTTTTTAAGTTTCGATCAATAGGACCCAGGACTTCCACTTCAAAGTGCCGAGCACTTAGCAAAAGGACCTTTGCTACCTATTTTGATCGACTTCATTTAGTCGAGGCCTGATTCGAACACACAACCTTTCGATCACGGATCGAGAGCTCTTCCGACTGAGCTACTGTGACGGTCCCAATTAAAGCGTAACACAGTGGTATGAGCGTCTAGCTGCTTTAGAGTCGCGGGTTCTTCCTTACGTCGCAGGTTTGAATCTCACTGTGTGAATGTGGAGACCTGTCCTTTGGATGGGACCACAATAACCAAGGACCCGTGTCGCAGTGAGTGCTGGCACGAAAAAGATCCCTCACTGCTCAAAGGACTTTTGAGTGTCGAATATTGACGAAATTTTACAGCTCTCCACAGGCAAGTGGTTGCGTATCCATATGAAAGAAAAGAAGCATTAAACAACAGGAGCCCACGGGCCTTATACCTCACCTGAAAACCTTATAACAACTTTCCGAAAATTGAATTTGTTTCGTGTTTTAAACCAGAGGCCATGAAATTCACAATTTTGTAAGAGGCACCATTGCTTATCATAACTATATGGTTTACTTAAAACCTAGTGGTAGATCAGAGTAACAAAGAGAAAATGCATTTCCACTTTATAACCAGTTGTGCACCCGTCCCACAGGAACCACTGACAAAATTTTGGAAATTTTATCATAGATTTTATTTCATCCTAAATGGTTGATACATGTATAATTTTATTGTATATGATTGATGGGTATAGATATTTTTTTATGTTGACCCACCTTTAAAAAACTTTTAACTTGGTCATAACTTTAAGTCAGTACTAGGGTTTTCATACTTCATAGGTGTATTCCTTGTGACAATACCTTCCTCCTTCAGATAATGGTTTGATGATATTTCTATAAAACTTAAATAAAAATATTTCAACTTAGAGATGATCTATTGATAACGTATTTCTATGGACAGACCCAATTCCTTCAGCATTCCCAAAAACTTGGTTTGCAGTGTATTGCGTGTCCAAACAATATGTGTTGGTGAAATACTGATGCCCCCGTATGGCAACATACCGATGATTAAACTTTTCTTAAATGCAGATTAAATATACTAGTACCCAAAGTAGGGTCTGCTCACAAGAAACACATTAAATTTTGTGAAATATGAAAGCCCTAGCACCACCTGTTCAAAGGTTATAGAGTATTTGAAAGGTAGGTCAAACGCGAGCTCCAAGGTCAAGAGTAAAAGTTGTTGTTTTTAGAGGAAAGGCCTTGTCACAAGGATTATTTATGTGAAGTTTGAAAGCCCTAGCCTTAACCCTTCAAAAAATATGGTCAAGGTTTATTTTTTTAAGTTTGTCAAACTCCAAGGTCAAGGGTCAACGTTCTAAGTATCCAGTGAAAGGTCTTTTCACAAGGATTATGAAGCATGAAATCCTTAGCCCTTTCCATTCTGACATAAGTTATGGCCAAGGTTAAAGTTTTTTCATACTTATGGAAATCTCTAAGGTCAAGGTGAAAGTTGGTGGTATCCAATGTAAGGTCTTGCCACAAAAAATACAAATGCGAAGTATGAAAAAGCTAGTATCTACCGTTCAAAAGTTATGGCCAAAGTAAATATTTCAATTTTTGCTGTCAAACTCCAAGGTCAAAAGTCAAATTTGGTGGTACCCAGATAAAGGTCTTGTCACAATACACATGTGGAATTTGAAAGCCTCAGCTCCACTAAATCAAAAGTTATGGGCAAGGTTAAAGTTTTTACGGACACGACAAAAACTATATACGTATATCTTCGATCACGTGGGCATAAAAAAATAAAAGATAAAATGATTTCATAGCAATCAAAACACTCAATTTATCTACGTAGCAATATATATAATATATTTCGTTTAATATCAGGAAAATCAAAGATATGAAATACCTAGAGAGACTTATGTGTGCCTCGTATGGAATATCATCTTTCAATGGATTTCCTTCGATAAGCTTTTCCAACTCAGGCTTCCAGGTTTTCAAGATATCTTTTGTTGAAACTAATTGTTCTGTTTCTCGTAAGATTTCATTAGAGATCTCACCGTGACTCACATTATCAATCAATTTCCCAGCATTCTTTTCCCACCATGACTTGGGGCTAGTTTTCTTCAAATCCAAATTTTGACTTACTAATCCCCAGAGCAAACCAGATATGAAACTTTTCAAGTAGCCAAACACATGTGTTGTGATGTCGCTTTTACACTTCATGAATGGACCATAAACGTTACATTCATGTTCTCGTTTGTTAATTTCCCATCTGAAAATTGAATGAATTGTCTTATCGCCTATTATTTCAACAACATGGGCTATAAAGAACCTGATGTCTTGCTGGTCTTCTTTGTTTTCGGTAGATCCTCTCATATCTTCGTGACTTGTCTGTTGCTCCAAATCGCCATATTCAAATTTGTCGAAGATAACAAGTCCACTCACTGCAGGCTGCATGCGTAGCTTTACGCCTTCAACGAGAGCAAGGAAACTATCGAGAGTTGTTCGCAGTTGCTCGAACATCCAGTTCTCAATCTTCCTAGATACCATTTCAACAAACAAGTGGTCCGTTAGGTGAAATATTTTGCTTCCTTTGCATTCCCCCTCTCCATGTAAACTTGAATCTATTTCAATAACTTTTCTAATGTAAAATTGCATTCTTTCTTTGGAATTCACAGAAAACATCAACATTATAAGAGCATTGGCTTTGATGGAATTTCTGTAGTTCTCTGATAAGTTTGTTTCAAATTCACCAATGTCAATCTAGAATGGAAAAAAAAGAAATCTTTAAGAAATGATAAAGCACAGTTCAAGAAACAGTTCAATTTAGAACTAGTGAGCACTTGGTGGGACTGAACATGGGGTTTTTATTTTTGTCACTAAATATCTCAAAAACTAGCAGAAAATGTTGCATTTTTTATTTCAGAAATTCATTTAGGTAGAGAAACCAGCTAAAAGTTGCAAGTAGAAAGATGTTTAAATACTTTGCATTTATAAGGCATAATAATAATAAAACTCCGAAGCAAAATTACCAAAAATCATACAACGTAAAAGTAATAAAAATAAATTTAGTGCTAAAAAAAAATGGTATATATGTCATTTGTTTCCATACAAATTTTGCCCTGTGCTTTTTCTAAGAAATGAAAATGGTGTAAAAGTTGAAATCTTATGGTTTCTGAATCAGAAAAATCATACAAATCAATTTTCTCACGTGTTTTTAAATGTTAATTGTGACGTCATAAACGTGCATTTTCCCGTATTTTCTTAAAAAGTTGCAGAAGACACCAATATTCAACGGAATTTTCTTTCAGATAATATGGTCCACAGGCGTCGCCCACAAAGGTCTTGAAATATGTGATTTCTTATTGACTTTTGCACAAAATATCAAAAAATGAACGTGGGCGACGGCTGTGGACACTATTTTCTAAGGGAAAATCACCATTGAAATGGGACATATTGAGGCTTTTTTTTTTGAAAATAGAGAAATGCATCACATTAATGACGTCATATTTGCAGAATAGTAATCCTTCATGCATTGATCTTTCCTGATTTATCACAGTCATATACTTAACTAATGTTTAAATCAGTTTGAAAACGCTTTGATGTCATTACATTTTTAGAGCGCAATAAAGCTAGAGAAATGCATCAAAAAAAAATGTAATGTATAATACCTCAAAAATATAAAATTTCCCCGTCAAACACATCTGTATGCCGTTATATGTAAGCAGATTGTACCTCATGCCATATTCTTTAAAAATACACAAGGTGATTTATCACAGTCATATACTTTAATCTAATGTTGAAGTCAGTTTCAAAACTTTTGATGTCATTAATATTCGAACGATTTATTAATCGGACACATAAAATTTTCTCCATTCGCAGCTTTGGAGGAGGTCTTGGAGTCGCACTTCTGTTTCGCCTTATCTGATTGATTAGATATTTAAGCTGTATTACAATTGAAAGTGGGGTATTATCCATACTTCAGGTGCCTGTGTGCATACCTTCTTCTTTGCAACTTAAAATTGTGTTCATGTATGTTTCCGCGGAGAAAAAAAAGAAATATAAATGCTGCATTTTTTCTCATTTTTCAATGATTTCAATATTTTTCAAATGTGTCATTACATGGCCAGGAGACGTCATTCTTGTTCGGACTCATGCAATGTAGGCGTAATTCATGACACATGTACTAAGCGTATATATTACAAATCTTTTGATACATAAATGTACACTGTATATATTATTCAACTCGTTTATTTAAAAAATGCTTTTTATTTCACAATGAAATGGAAATATAAGGAATCACTGTCTAGTTAGTATAAAACAAAATATTTTACGAATTTTTTTTAGCCAAAATTCTGAATTCCTTTCAAAAAATTGGGATATTCAAATTTTTATAGTCTGTTTTAGTATATATTTTTTTAATTTTTAAAATGTTAATAACAAATATGCCTTATGTTGTATATATTATTCAACTCGTCTTGAGAAACTGTTATTGAAAAATTGTTTTATGAATTTTTTTCTCATCCTTTCAAATCAAATTTTTAAGTTTGTATATATTTTTTTAATTTTTAAAATGTTAATAACAAAATGCATTTGAATGTCAAGGTTATCTCCAATACTTATCGATTTAAATATTGTAGTGTTACGCTCTGTTTTTAAAATCGACGTTGTACAAATTAGGTCACTGCGCATTTAGATATATTGTAAAATAAAAAGGAATTCTTGTTGTTTTACATTTTTTTTATTTTAAAATTAGCAAAGTTATCATGATTGACCGGAAAAACTCCATTGCATATATCTTTTGTTGTTTTTTTTAACTTACTTCACCGTTCTTTATGTCTTCTTCGGTCACTAGATAAATGGGCATTACCAGCAAACCATCTTTGCAATCACTGCACATCGCTCTTTGTAGCGATTTTGCATCCCGATGTTTAGAAAGCGTTTCTGATTCAAAGTGTCGCTGTTTTAAAAATGCATCCATCGTTGATTTTTGGGTCGCAAAAACATACACTTTTGATTTTTGCAATGGGTCAAACAATAGCCTGTCAATCACCCGAGAACTCGCATGAACACGAGATATGTCTTGCTTAAATTTGTCCAGTTTTGGCTTCAGTCGCTGATGAAGAAATTTCACTCGAGGTAATGTGTCGTTTTTAATCATCATTTCCCAACAAAATACGGATCTCCATGCCCTTGGGGCCGCCATTTTTGAGATCTCTCAACAGGAATCCCCTTTCCTATATTTAGATCTATACTTTAGATGCACTTTCGTTATCATATATGCAATATGACACTGTTTTATTATCCAGGGGATTTTCCATGATTTTTGTGACCATCGGAAGTTTTAAGTACATACAGACAAAACTAAGATATTTCAATTTGCCAGTAGATTGTGAAATAATTATAGTATATACTATAAGCCCAATTTTTTGTTGTATGGGTGTAATGTATTGGGCTACAAAACCATATATATAATAGATATCTTAGAAAAGGTACGCTTAAAATTTTTGAAATTTGTTTTGCATGTTCAGTCCAATACTCCAAATACAAAATTCTGCGGAAATGAAAAACAATAGGTGAACAATCCAAGTCTTACAAAAGAATATAGGGGAAAATCTTTAATCTGTTCTCAAGAAAAGCAAGGTCACAATTATTCATATTTAAAGATGGAAACATTCTCATGTACATGTAATATGGGTTCATTTTTGTCCATAGCATGCACAGACACTTGGCATTTTTAACCTTTCATTTTATAAATTAAAAAAATCTCATACTATAGTTTTGGGAATTTGCTGTTTATCCCCCCCCCTCCTACGTAGCTCATAAATATCTTAATGCGTAAATCTTATTGAAAATTGGAATCGACAGAAAAGAATTGTCAGATCGCCGTTTGCCCGTTTTAACAAAAAAATACAGTTCCTTTTTAACTTCATAATATTGAAATGAAAACTTGGGGGATCCAGTCCACACTTTCATAGATTCCTTTTTTTTTTTACACACACACACATCCATCATAAACTAATTATAAAGATTTATTTTTAAATTCACTTAATGCTAACCAGTTTATTAAATGGGAGTATTTCTTACATCCATATTTACTCCATGTACATGTAATCACATATTATTTATTTTAGCTGAATAATTATATCTAGCTTTTCTTACTGTTGTCCTGTACTAATTTATCTTAATGTTTTACTTGAACTGTTATGAACTGCTTTATGTATAAAATACATAAACAAACGACTTGAGGACACAATTAATTTCGTGACATAGACTTAATCATAATTAATGGAAAAACCGTGTTTTTTGTTATACCTCTGTTGTTCCTAGTCTTGTTCCTTCGCGGGTTCGGTCCTTTTGTCAGTTAGAATCAGGGAGGTAGGTATGCACACGTAGACAGATTTTTGATGTGGCGATAATTATTTTGGCATCATGCATTAACTCTTCCGAAAAATCCTGCTGACGAACGAAATTTTTTTGTTGTGAAAATGTTTAACTGTAAACCTTTTGCCGAACTTTATAAAAAGAAACAAATAAATAAGACATAAAATTGAAGTAAAAAAGCAAGTTAATAATTGGGATGTAAACTTTATAAGTGCGTGGACAATATTCAGTTTGTGGATAATTAATTAAATATTTGTTAATTAATTAATTTTTTTTCTCAACGAGATAAAGAGAGGTGAAGCTTATATAAATGATGTATTATTTGAATTTTTATTCCTTATTTTTGATTCTCAGTCTGTAGGCAGAGAGTTGTATAAGAAGATTATGAAGTCCCTGATCGTCCTTTCCGGATTATTTCTGACCATTGTGGCTCAGACGGATGTTTTTGGATGGTTTCGGAGTTATAATTATCAACCTTCCGGTAATTTTTGCGATTTTTCTAAACAATACGAAAATTATGTATAATGAAAAATTTTGTATTGTAAAAATTTCAAGAAGTTGTATTTTCACTTGTATTTATGATTGTTTCATTATTTTTCATGAAGCATTCTGCACATTTCTTTTTCTTTTTTGGAGAATTTTTTAAATTAAAAATAACATTAGAAATACTCGAATACTAATAATTTCATTTTGGGCTTCGTGTTTTGAAATATTTTTCTTCTAATTATTAAGAATTAATGTCTGAAAACTTCAAGAAAAAATCTAGTATTGATGTCTGGAACATCTCTTATTCAATATCACTTGCATAAAAACAAGTTTTTGGCTCAATAAATTTTTTTTAACAAAGAAAAATGGGGGGGGGGGGTGTGAACTGATTTCAACAAGATAAAACAAATTTATCAATGTTATCATACGCAGAATGCAGACTTCCAATGCAGTCAGGAACTTCTCGACTGAAGCTCCAGTACGGACAAACCAACTGGTTCTACAATGCTTCATCCCAACAATGCGAACCATTCGAATACTACGGAAGGGGAGGCAACCGAAATCGCTTCCGGACCCCAATACATTGTCTGCGCAGATGCGGTTGCCAGCTCAGAGAAGATCCGGGCTACTGTCCTAACTCGACGATATCTGTGATTCGCTACGCTTATAACCGCCTCTGGAGATTCTGTACGGAGTTTGAGTATTATGGCTGTGGCGGAAATATGAACAATTTTGCAACCTTCTTCGAATGTCAGTTTGGATGCGGAGGATTTGATTGAAAATTATTCTCCACTGGAATCAGTTGTGCGTATGGTTTTCTCAGGAGGAAATAACTCTGGCGCTGATCTTGAAAAAATACCTAGTTAAGTTTATATGGATTGTCTTTCTTTGAAAGTTGGACCAAGAAATTTAAAATAAAGGTACAAAAAACTTTTTTCATGTTTTCTTCTTTTATATTTACTTAAATTGTTACAAACATGCTTAATACGCACAAAAATATATTCAACAAAGCAATTTTTACTTCATCATTTGCGTGTTGTAATAAAAAAACAAAAGCAAAATATACTCTCGTTTTTAAGTGAAATATATTTCTTTGCTTAAAAATTATGGAGATGATATACCATCTGGTAAATATGTTGGAATCGCATATTTTGCAGGTGGTTAGATCACTCTACATGCATGTTTTTTTGCAGGCGGTATTTTTTCCATGCTTACAATAAATGTTATTTGAACCATAAACATCTCCTGAAATTCTAGATAATCACGCAATCATTAAAAAAGGAAATCTCCTTATTAATAGTTTGTTTTATTGTAGAGACTAATTGTGCATAAATGTATGTTTTTATTTCTAAAAATCGTTATCGAAATACTTCTTAATTAATGGATCGATTTCCCTTTTTGCGATGAAACAATCGATTGTTTCAATTGGCATGACTTAAGCTCCCCTAAAAAGGGAGAAAACTTAAAAGAATCAAATTCAATTGTCAAGCAGCGAAAATTACTATGAGACGCCTCTGAAACAATATATGAGAGGTGATTGATACGAACAGTTGACGTCTTCTTTGGTATTTTGTTGTATTGACCACACAGGCACCTGGGGGTTGCCCCCCCCTCCCCTTTCCATTTTTTTTCTTTTTAAATCTGGGGTCGACACACCTTTTTCCTATTTTGGTAGTCTAATAAGCACTTTATATCGATAATATTACCCTTTTGTCTCTATAAACCGTTTTTAAATACATATATCGTTTCCGACCGATACATGTAGCATCTCCCATGCTTTATTCTGCTTTAGATAAATAATCATGCAAAGTTAAGTGAGGTGAGGCGGATGACGAGAAAAGAGTTGCAAGCCTTCTCTCTTTTTATGCCCAAGTGCCTGTGGTATTGACATGTAAACCTCGCATCTGTCCATGTCGTTTGACCAAACTGCAATTGACATGCAGTTTCGCCTCGTCTGAAAACAGACGTGTACCGATCGTGCGAGCTTTGCCTTTTCTTTTTAGAAAAAAATATTGGCGAGACTTTTTCAACAAAAGTTCAAGATGGCAATGGCTGGTATATCCCACTTCCACGTGTTGATGCTATAGATTTATCTTCTTTATATTGCCAACGATAACAAATATGTGAAAGGGTATAAATATTATGGATATAATGTTTATAGAAAATTATATCTAAATTATTAAGTCCGCGTTTCACACAAACGAAGGTGTTTTTTGGAATTCCTTTAGATTTCGCTATTTAAAAGGAATCAGCGCATTTCTGGTAGACAATATGAACACAAAATATATTTCTTCTCGTGATTTTTCATAATTTTTAGATATGTTTCAATAAAAAAAAAATAAATAAATATTTTTATATTAATTTTGGTTTTATTATTGAAATATGTTTTGTAATAATTACTTTTAAAAACACCTTCTCAGTATGTCTTTCATAAATTTTCAACGAACCATGTGTCGAGTTATCAAAAAAAAATAAAGTCGAAGGATTGATTGATTGTATGTTATTCAACGTCCCTCTCGAGAATGAATTTTTCACTCATATGGAGACATCACCACTTGCCTGAGTGTTGAAAGCTACAAATTTTGTCCTATACTCGGCACTTACGGTCATTGAGCAGTGAGGGATCTTTTTCGTGCCAGCACCTACTGCGACACGGGACCTCGGTTTATAACGTCTCATCCGAGGGACCGGTCTCCACACTGGGATTCGAACCCGCGACGTACGGAAAGCAGACACTCTACCATTGCGCCACGCGGGTGTGCGATATTAAGCAGTCGTTTTGTATACATGTATTTATCTTTTTTAACGTATATATGTAATGTACACTGTACGAAAGTGCATCACTGATGTTGCGTGTATTTTTAAATAGATTTTCTGAGTAGAATAGTATAGTACCAGCCCAGAATGAATGAAACACAATGATTGTCAATTCCTATCGTCTGCGATGTCAGTCATAAACCGGAAATGACGTTGATGACTTTCATATTGTTTGATGAAAATTAAAACAAAATGAAAGACTTCGGCTATGAAATAGCATTATAGAGTAATTAACTGTAAGGCATATTAATGATCAATGTTGATCGTCTGCTTTGTCACTCTTTTTCAGGATGACGTCGGAGTTGCATTTATTTATACCTGATATCGTCATATTGGTGCATGTTCTTTATCTTACGTCAAGGAAATTGTTGCAAGAGTTCAAGACAGAATTATATTCTTTGATATCAGCAAAAGCATAACACTTGCAGATCAGTAGCAGAATACAGAGACATTACGAATAGAAACGACTGTTTTTAGGTACAATCTTCCCAGGTCAAGGGTTTTTGATCCGCTCCGCTCCACCTTAACATTTTGGGAAGATGGGGTGCAATTGATAGTGCGTCTGCTTATAGAAATGATTGAATGACAATTTCTTTTTTCCAGAACGAACCTAGAAAAATCCTTATTTAAACAAAAATTCATTATATCTGAAAGCGTTTTAATGTCAGTTCTCAGTCTATAAACGGTATGGCAATATGAAGATTATTAACGTCGAATCCATGGATTCTATCGATCCTGGAGGCAAAATTCAGCAATGATAAACTTGATATCATTTGGATAACTAACCAAATCCATAATCTTACCTGAAAACTTATAATCTATCATTTCTATTTAAGCCTAGATGTCGATCAACCATTTTCAATTTAAAAAGCTTCGAGAATTGGCTTTGCCTCCTTTAAAACTTTAAAAATATTGCAAAATAATACAAATGTTTACAAATAAATAGATTAAGATTCTGATGCTGCAAGCTTAACCTCTTTTCTTTGAACAGTTTAATTACCTCTTTCGTTCTCCATCGATTGATTTTTACCCATTCATTTTTATCAGATTCGAGCAAAAATCAATATATGAGTATTACAGAATCCAGAATAGGATGGGCTATAAATTTGATGTCTTAATACGTCACGACACGAAATACGAGAACGGCATCTGATATGTTTTACCAGGGTGACAATTAAAATTAATTCTACCTAATGTTAATGAACAACGGGTATATTATATTACAGCCGGTGGGCTTTAATACCGTAGGAAAGACAAATGCTGCCTATAGGACTTCTAGAAGTTATTGGTATATAATATATGCACATAGGCTAGCCTACACTCGTTTATTTTATTCACCACATCTGTTTCATGTATAGTTAATAAGAAATAACATGCTGAACTCCTACCTAGCTTTTCTAGAATTTTTTTTATTTACCTACTTCATTTTCCCTTTATTAACGTTTTTTTTTTTACATTAAATACATTGTCTTTATTGGTGCTTACAAAAAAACAATAACTTTTTAACTTTCCGTTAGATTGGAAGACTGTACGACACAAATTCAATAAAATATTGTGGAAACCGAAATTATATGCGAATTGTAAAAAATTAAATACCGGTAGATTACACGTGCTCAGTCAGTTTACTTATGATCGGCATAAAATGCTGACATGGAGTATAAGTTAATTATTGGTTATAAACCTGTGGTCAATTTGGATATACAGTGTAAAAGCAAAGGATGTAAATCATAATTGATACCTGATGATTATGGGCCTAATAAAGACAAAGGAGATGTGCAGGTGGGCGAAAAAATGGCCTCCCAACACGCACCTATATTACACGCGGTCATTTAACTGGTTTCATGAATGTAACAGGTAGCAAATTATTAAATGCAAATTGATAAATCTAATAAATTTCATTTTACTATCCGCACCAACAAAAAGATTTTAAAAATTCATCTTGGACTCATTTTTTTTTAAACTGAGATGCCTGGTAGGCTAGAAATGGAAATCATTTGGGGTCAAAAGTTAAAAGATCAAGGTCAAAGACAGTGAAATGTTTTATATTTGTTTGTTTGTTGCTTAACGTCCTTCTCGAAAAGTTTTCACTCATATGGAGACGTCACAGTTTGAATTATTAATATTTAAATTATAATATTATTCACGACTGATCAGTGCCTCAGAACAATGTTTTTTTCTTTCGCTTTCTGACATATCAGTACCAATTATGAACATTTTCTAATCATGTTCAGACTACAGTGTACTATAAAACATTTCAGTGTAGTCTGATAGTGTATACTATACAACATTTCGTCGCCAGCGTGGCACAGTGATTAGAGAACCATTAGTTCTGCTGTTAGATCTGCTCTAGAGTCGCGAAGTAATGATTCGATCCTTACGTCGCGGGTTCGAATCCTACTGTGGGACGCGGTTACCGATCCTTTGGATGAGACCGTATAAACTGAGGTCCCGTATCGCAGTGGGTGCTGGCACGAATTCGAAAAAGATCCCTCACGGCTCAATGGCCCTAAGTGCCGAGTATAGGACAACCGGCAAATTTTGTCCTATACTCGGCACTTGTAGCCATTGAGCAGACTTTCGTGTCAGCACTTACTGCGACACAGGACCTCGGTTTATACAGTCTCATCCGAAGGCAATCGGCAATTCTCGGCTAATTCCGCTATGCTCCATTCATTATGTGCGAGGTTCGAGCCATCCGAGGAATTCAGAGTGATCCGAAGGAAGGACCCGTCTCCAGGTCTCACGGTGGATACGAACCCATGACGTAAGGATGAACTCTTCGCTCCGCGACCCTGCAGCAGAAGCGCCACGCGGGCGACCTGCCCTTGTCATGATGCCCTTGTCGTTATGTCGGGGTTGAATCAGTAGAACATTTTCTCGGAATGCTGATATTGATATTTTTCACTCAATCAATTTGCTTTTATGGTATTCATGGAAAAAAAGTTTACCATGAATCGATAAAGCTCTGTCTTTTGACATGAGTTGGAAGAAATTCGTAGTATCCATTCCCATAGGGAGAAATTTAGAAGATGGATTTCAGTGTTGGAACACAGGGAATTTTTTTTTTCATAGGTTCATAGTATAGATCCCAGAGGAACGATTTATATTCTGTACAATACATATGACCAGAAATGAATTCAACAATAAAGCAGGCCCTCGACATAATCAGAGATCGATTGCATTTTTGTGTAGTTTTATAACGTGTGTGGAAATGGTTTGACTTATCCTTTTATTATGTTTACGTAGGCTAGAATAAAAAAAGGTCGTTTTTCCCAGTAGAACTGAATTAAGTATGCTTTCATCGAAATTCAATGGAAAATATGTCCGTTTTCTTTGAATCAGATGCCGCAACATTGGAATTTGATATTTTAGGAATGCGTTATCAATAAATAGATGGTCGCGAAATCGCGCGTGTTGTGTTGGACCTTTTTGTAAATGTTCAACTTGATTTGGAGTTCGCTTCAGTTTTTAATTTAATTTTTGTTACACGATAAAATATTTACCTACATGACATCAAGCTGAATCAAGATAGCTATAGATAATGATTATGAAGAATATTTCATATACATTTTAGTATATTAAGTACTTTACTTCATGGCTGCCGAATTCTAGATTACAAATATATACAGGAACTACCACACAGAAGTGTTATTCAGGGGAAAAATATTTTACTATATGTTCTTAAATTGTTTTATCTTATGCGGAATCAAATTTTAAAAATGCTTTCAACATGGAAATTTTAAAAAATACGAGACGTTGTGTGGAACAGATTTCTTCAAAATCCAATCATTTCACTACTAAAAGATATAATTCAGGCGCATATGCATTTATAACCCCCATGTCTATCCAATTTTGTTTAATTGGATTAAAAATCTAAGTTTATGGCCCGTGTAGTTAATCGTTTGCACTGAACGCACCCTTTTCCATGATATGCACGCGGAAAATTCTTCCGCATGTGTTTCATTCTAACAATTTAAACCACATTTGCAATGTTAGACCCCTTATATATATATTCCTGTCCTCGTTTGATAAATATGATTAATATTTTACGATATTGCCCCTATTTATTTTCTGAACAAAAATGTGAAATCGACGACCAAACGCCTCTCCCCTCAACCGGAAACCAAACCTTTAATATCGATTTTCGCCGTGCCCATTGTTAACTTTTCTCACTAAAAATATAATAAAAAATATTTAATCAGCCAACCCTTTTTAGGGTTAAAATCTTTATCTCTCAAGTGCATGTTTTACAAATATTACGGTGACAATTTCAAAATTTCATTTCCCAGAGCACCTGTCCTTGTTAAGGTGAGAGTCGCCTGTGTTGTATCGATTAATGAAAAGTCGTGTATGAGAATGCAGGTAAATGCCCGGAGGGGGGTTGTAACTACTCATTTTATCAAGATCAAATAAAGCCGACATGTCGTCAGCTTTAATACCATGAGCCAAATTAATCGCATCCTTTTCGGTAATAAGGCATGATTACACTTAGATGATACTTTTCAAAGTGTGGATCGCGTTTTTCATAGGTTTGTCGAATGAAAAAAAAATGGGTCTGATTATTTTCCAAGCATTTTCCACTGATTTAGTTGATGTTGATGTTTTTTCAAAAGACCGCGGGAATTGAAACTTGGAAAAAGTGAAAAAATATTTTTTGTGTGAAAAAAAAAATTTGTTTTTAATATCTTCTCTCAGATTTGATGAGGATTATCTCGACACGCCCCACCCATAATGTTGCAGTATGTTCATTGATACAGGAGAGGTTCGATATCGTCTGCCTCCACTTCTAGTCTGAAACATACAGGCTGTACACAGTTCATCGCCGAAGCAGAAGACATCTCGTTCATCAAACGGAAACCGGATAGAATTGGAATTTGTACCCAGGCTTCAACAAAAGCATTGAAATTATCGATCAACAATAGGAAAATACAAATTTCTGAAAGAAATTCATCATGATGTTGCTTGCTTCCAGCTACAGTCGCGTAGTTTGATAGGCGGAGCAATATTCCGACTCTTTAACAAAGCGGGTATATGCAGGCTTGTTCAATAAATCACGGAGTGTAGCCTAATGGATTTACAGTTTCAAAGCATACGTTACTTGTTAACGCTTGGATATATAGTGCAAAGCCAGTATTATTGAAAGAAGAGCTAATATTTATCTGCTCAATCCTACAGGGCTTGTACAATATCCCGCCAAAAAGAATCTTGAATGAAAAAGCGGTGTACACATCGCGGGGCGAGCCATTATATTTTAAAGCTATTGTGATGTGATGGGACTCGATGTTTTTATTTGTTCCATATGGACCATATTTACTGTGGGATATTTTGTTGAAATCGGAAATTGTGAAACAAACAAGGTTTGTAGTTATTTTTGTTGTTCATTATACATGTTCAACGTTTGTGGACATAGCTGTTATATGTTTGTCCTTCACAAATCTCACATCAAACAGATTAACAAACATTCAGGAACTTATAGGCAATTTTTCCCGAAAATAAAAGTACCCCTGACTTCGCGTGTAATTTCCTGGTTTATTTGTAAGGTCAGAATATTCAGGTAAATTTCCATAACGTTTATAATACTTCCTGTTTCAAATACATGTAAACATGAGTTACTTGATAACTTCCCCATTTTTTCAATTTCTTTGAAGTATTGATTAAGAATTGTCCGTCAGTTCTTAAATTTCTTCATTTATTAAAACATTACAAACTAATAATTTAACGAAAAATCTCCATTTTCAACATATATTTCTAATTTAACTACTATAATAATTGTGTTATTGACAGCCAGATTTCACCATTTGGTCGGTTATCTTGAAGGAGAAAAAAACGAAGACATGGTGTCGTAAACATGACATGCTAAATTCAAATATTCCCCTGACACCGATTATCGTAATTAACCATGGTTCATTAAGCATCCCCTGTCTTTGTTGCCTGTGCCAGGGTATCCCTAAATCCATTGATTAAATGGATAGAATGGACCCCCTGTTAAGACGTGATTATCTATTATGCAAAGTTAGACGGACGACTAGATACATAACAAAAGGCCCTGTCATAAATCTGACAGTTGAGAGATCTTGCAAGATCAAAATTCCTCGAATGACAAAAAAGATAGAAAAAAATGATGAGATATGATTTTGGGTCTCTGACTGTAAAATTTGAATGGTTTATACATGCGTTTTCTTTTCCTCTTCTTTACCTTTTTTTAAAAATGATCAAGATTATCTCTATATTATACGTTGTCAGTGAACCTAAAACCCAGAAGCGAACAAAAAAATTAATATGTGTGGAAGCCAGTGCCTTTTGAAGTGTTCGTCTAGAGAGGTTGAATGGGGCTTTTGAGTGCGACGGTCATAACTATTGGCTCGTAAACTGATTTTCACAGCCGGACTCTAAAACCGAGCGCTGTTGTCCAAAGATAATCATCACAGAGAAGAATTAACACAATAGATTCTACACATGTTTAGCTGAAACCCTATTTTTTATCTATCATTCTCTGTTGATTAAGGTTCTTCCGTTCGACTTTAGGGTTAAATAAATAATTGTGATAACAAAGCAAATGTTGGAACAGACAAAGTTGTTTTTTTTCACCTTGTAGTGTGTATTTCACAACTTAAATGAGCGAAATTTATTAATTGGATGGAATCGACTTTTATGACTTTTTGACATGTTTGGGTTTAATTACTGGGTTTAAGTAATGGCGTTTGTAAACTTTCGAACTACACAAGAACAGCAATGTGAAAAAAAATGAACACTTTATCTGTATAATACATGGATAAGGCCAGAGAACAATTGGTCTAAATGTAGAAATCTCTTATCTTGTTGGCGACACAGTAATTGAGTAAATAAATGGTCTTGCATGGTGCCTTACTCTAAGGTTAAATTTTCACGTCTTGTGGCTTATTTGCCGTTGTACACCCCCGAATGTGTAAACGGCCCCAGTTGGTAAGTTATAGCTAGATTTTTAAACAATTAAGACATATTAGCGCGATGGTTGTACGAGGTCAGTTTGCTAATTACTGCCAAGGGAATTGATAGGAATTTTGATATCACTCAGCAAGACAATAATGGACGATTAAGCCAGAAACGAGTATTAAATGAGAAAAAAATAATGATATTTATGATCGCAATTTGATTTGATTTTGTTTTGGACAGTGGGTGGAGTTGCAAAAAACAACGAAATTTTTACAGAAAAATATGACATAATGATTTATATTCACATGAAATACTCTTGTTCGGGATTATTTTTTGAATACAGTACCCTTCGAAATTAGTATTGAAAATGTTCTTTTCTGCCCCTGTGACCTCTCCTAGTTATGAATTCAGTTCTATGTAGCGAAAATTGCATATCTTCTTGACCTGATGAACAGTAAAATTTAGCACAGTAACCAAGTCGCATTAGGAGAGGTAATTGAATAGTTTGTCACCCAATAACTCGTTTTATTGCTTCCTGGCACGCTATTGGTCTACGCACGGCCGACACGTACAGCTGATTTTTCTTTACAACTGCAACAGAATGTCAATTTCTTTCTTTCACAGATAACTACCTCTGTTTATTTTGAGGGCCATCTGGTAACGACAGCTGGATATGTTTATTGCAGGAATGTACAAGATGTCAAAAAGTCACTTGGTGTTTTACTATCCTAAAAGTTTTGCAATGTTAGTCGTCCTATGAAATGGCCCGATAGGTAGTTGTGGCGTCCTACATGTGCCATGCGCCCTGGGTACATATTAGTTGTAGCATCTTTTGCAATTTCACTTGGTACATATTAGTTGTGGGGCCCATTGCAAGCCCTCTAAGTACTTTTTAGTTGTGGGTACCCATTGCAGCGCCCCTAGATACACATTATGTAGTTGTAATACCCTTTGCAATGCCCCTAGGTACATATATATACGTCTTTCAAGAAGTAAGCCAATTTGTCTGGATAATTCGTCAAGGTCTTTGTCAGTGGGCAGTAAATGAATTCATCTTTTGCAGTTGCAGTGATGAATTGTTGCTCTCGTCGCACGCGCCTTTCTGTACGCGTGCAGAATTAGTTTGATATGACCCACATGTCTGCTTGTAGAATACAAAAGGCGGATAAGTCTTCATTAAGAACACATCATAATTAGCCAAGATAATGTGTCTGCAATCGTCTTCAGATTTTCTTCTCTTGATCTATATTCTGTCATTAAACCGTTGGTGATTAAAGATTTGATAATTAATAAATCATCGATTTGAAGAAAAAAAACATTATATTATGTGATTATAGGTTCCATATGAACTCTACCGATTATGTAATGCCTAAATGAATGGTATGAACTTATTAAAATAAATATTTGAATCTATTTATAAATCTATTTATATCGAATGTGCTGATAAAATTGGTTAGAGCAGTTTTACATACTCTATTATCGATTGTAAATCTGCCGCAGGGTTCAGTGATGCAGCATAAATGTATGTCTGAGGAAACTATGCAGGGAAAATCGCTCATCTATAGAAATTGATCATTGCTTTAGATTTTTGGTGCAATATGCAAATCAAATGGATAAACTCAATGAAAAAATTGTATAGTAGCTCATCAAAAAGACCCTTCTTTTAAAAAATGCACCAGAAATCAACTTAGGATTTCCGGCTTTTGCATTCTTAAAAAGTATAACACCAATTGTGTTACAAAAGACTTAACTTTTTGAACAACTTTTGAAGAAAACATAGATTATTGATCGAATCAGCTGATCGTAAAAACAAATGTCGTTACGTCAGTAGCAGCCGATATTCAAAAGCAGACGACATTATGACTGTCCATATGTACCTTATAAATTTCAATAACGGTAGCATGTTTCTCGACGACGGCCGCTGCACATGAATCAAAATGTCTAATTTTTCTGGCCATCAACCCCCGAGGGCGCATTCTTTACAAAACATCTGTTTCCCCTGAGCTTTTGTTCGTACTTTTTTGTAGTCTAAGGATTTTCATATTAATCGGGACATTCTCGTTTGAAGTGATGCTACACTTGTTTTATTTTATTATGATGTTCATAAACTTTCTCTCTGAATCGGATGTTAAGATAATCATTTGAAGTGGTGAAATTGTCTAATTAATCTCTTTTCCTTTTAATTGGATTATTTCTAGTGGATGGAAGGCACTCGAGATGCAAGAAGTAAGGAATGTTTCGTGTTCAAGTAAATTTATTCTCATCGATATCAAATACCATGTAAAGGTCAATGGACTTTGCTGTTCTTTTAATAGGAAATATGTTTTAAAATTTATTACTTATAAATAATGCATTTCCTTGAAAATGAAACCGGATGTAACAATAAGACATGAGGAGATGGATGCACTAAATACAGTAAAACCTGTATAATCCGAACACCACTGATTCCAGAGATATTGATTGTATAGTACTATTTAGACAATAAAATGCTTTCTTTGGATTTGATTAACATTTCAAAAAATTAGATTAACTGAAAGGAATGAAAGTAGCAGCTGTTGTAGAAAACATTGGGATTAGACATACTTCACTGTAAAATTAATGTTATCAGCTTGTTTTCTGCTGTTTATTTTTTGTCCCGAACTTTGTTAATATTCTAAGGGTTTAGTGGAATCTTCTGCCTTATTGTAGTCTTGACTACCAATTTATTCTTAAGGTTGCCTTATTATACAAAGTGATTTCGTTTGGGAGGAGATAACCGTCAAACATAATCTCTCTTTATCGTGACGTATTCGCTTGTAATTCAGATTTCACAGAATCAGACACGTAATGTAGGAATTGGTTATGCCCCTGCTGTCTGGCCCAATCCATCAAATGTGAAATTGGAGGAAATTCTGGTGTAATGAAACATTTGTATTGTGGCGTATGTCTGCCACGTTGATCAAACTGGAACATCTTGTCTGTTTTATCTAATTGAACATCCGTTGTTACCGTTCATCTGCGAAAAATGTACGAAGAAATTGGCTCCTCTCTCTCTCTCTCTCTCTCTCTCTCTCTGACAAACAAAAAACGTTTACTGTATGAATACAAACATGTTTTATCTTAAAGCTATTGATGCCTGCGAATGCAGAATGGTGAAAAAAAACCTTGCATTATTCTAAGCTTATCTCATTTTCATCAAATACTGAGGAACGAAAAACATCATAAACCTGTTAATATTACAGTAGTGCACCTCTCATCATAGAAATACATCAATGTATGTTTTGGCAATCTGCACTTTCGTCTTAATCACTTGGCTACAAACATCATCTGCCTACTGATAACATAATTTTGAACGATATCACCGCATCTGTACACTTTTACTCAAAAGGATTTGGCATACATGGCTATTCTTTGACTATTAAAACTCCAGGAAAAGAAAAGCGGCAAAAGCCCTATATAAAAATGTAAGAAATTGCACTTACATGTATTTTAGATATTTTTTTTTGAATAAGATGAGATTTTTCCTTACTAATAATCGAAAAGTAAAATGCACATGACATAATTAGCTAAATCTGAAACTGCCTAGGTTTAGAAACGCGATAGTTTCATTTAAGTAGATTGAAAAACTTTCAAGAGGGTTTAGACCTACAATCAACAGAGTAATCAAAATCACTTTCATACCACTCAATTAAGACGTGAAAGTAGTACCATAAGACCCAACACCCAGTGGGGAAATAAAATAGTTCGTTATCCTGGCGGTGATAAGGCTTTACTGGACAACCTTACAGAACTCTGGCAGAAATCGTTAAAGCAGACAGGTGGCCATTTTTTCATATCCAGCTTCTGTAAATATTTACACGAATCTAACGTCATGATCGTGTGCCGAGTTGAACTCAAGCTCTGGGCAATATAAACGTGTAGATAAGAGAATAAATGATCTCTTGAACTCCTTTGGTTTGAGTCCTCACAGGGGCTGAATCTTTTCGTCCAGATTCGTAAAATAAATATACTATAGGCTAAATTTGTAGATGAATTATTGAATTTTCGCTTGAATTACAAAACAAGTTTCTATCCATAATATCTAATAGTAAGAAATTTGGATGAAAAGGGGTTAATCATTAAGCCCCTAAACGGTGGTAGTTTATTGTTTATTTTGATTTCAATATACACTTAAGTAGACTTTATATTTTTGATAATATTAGTCATACAATTTGAAAATCGACGTTTGCATGGTAATGTTTGAAATGGAAATTAAATATTAAAAGTTGTATAATTTCTTTTACAATATATATTAAAGGCAGTTTTGAGGAATTTAGATTACAAAGCAAATAGCTAGAAGGTAAAGGACAGTTCAAAGAACGACTCGATTGCATAAAATCTTCGTTAAAACCAATCTTTTGTGTTTGCTAGTAACTTCTCGGCAGAGTAGAATTTACAAGACCAAAGTATTGTCACACAGAACTATGCCTTTCGCGTCGACCCATTGTTAGACTATAATTAAATTTTTTATAAAAGGAAGTTACTTTATCACAAGAAAGTATGGACCATTACGGGGAGGTGTCACATTTATTACGTCACATCCTAACAGCCAATCAATGTATTTTTCACATGCAACCTGCGTTATTGGTTAGTAAGATCGTTGAAATTCCATATACTTTACTAAAACGCAAATGAACACGTCACTAGGCTTTCGTCATTTTGCTGGAAAAACTAAAAAGAGCAAAATATATCGTTGAAACACCCGTTTAGAAAGTTACAGAGATTTCTGGATCTGCACAAAAAATTTTTTTTTCATTTCAAGAGGGCACATTGTTTGTATGGTAACAATGTGCAGACTACACAAAGTAAAAAGGTTCACCTGCTAGAATTCCGGCCATTTTGTTATATCAAAAAAACAAAAAAAGGACGTGATCTTCAAGAGAGCTATTGATTTTAGTTGGGGGTTATTGTTCTTCTGCACGCTGACTCTTGTATTATATAACTAATATTCCATCACAGTAACAACTTATAAATTAGTTTCTTGTTGACTTCCTAGCGAGATCGACGTTTCCTCTTGTTAACTTTTTGTGTTTAAGTGGAGAACATAATGAAAAGCATACTGAACGCATCGTATGACGTAAGTGTTATTGTAGACTTAATTGTGTTATCTGAGTTCTACATCTTGTAATTTTGAGACGTGATTTGCATCATGTAAGTAATTAATTTTATTGATTATATAGAAAAATTTGTTATAATAATTTCAGGAAGGTAATGTGTTCTTTAAATGGTTCAAGGTCTATAGGAAAGGTTGTTTTAATCCCAAAATGTTTACAATGTATTTGTTTTGCAATGGACTTATGAATTTGGAAATTAAAATTTTAGAAATACGTGGAATGTTTGCTTGAAAATTTGTAACAGAGTGAAAAAAAAAACACATCTATTTATATACGATGAATAAATCGCTGAATGGCAAAAAATAAAAGATAAATTTTTTTTCTCGTTTTAAGCTCACCTGAGCCGAAGGCTCAAGTGAGCTTTTCTGATCACATTTTGTCCGTCGTCTGTCCGTCCGTCTGTACACTTTTCACATTTTCGACTTCTTCTCAAGAACCAATGGGCCAATTTTAACCAAACTTGGTACAAAGCATCCTTGGGTGAAGGGGAGTTTAAATTCTTAAAATATAGGATCTAATCCCCTTACAAGGGGAGATAATCAAGAAAAGACAAAAATAGGGTGGGGTCACTAAAAGATCTTCTCAAGAACCACTGGGCCAGGAAAGCTGAAACTTATGTGGAAGCATCCTTGGGTAGTGTAGATTTTAAATTGTTAAAATCATGACCCCCGGGAGTAGGGTGGGGCCACAATAGGGAATCCAAGTTTTACATAGAAATATATAGAACAAATCTTTAAAAATCATCTTCTCAAGAACCACTGGGCCAGGAAAGCTGAAACTTATGTGGAAACATCCTTGGGTAGTGTAGATATTAAATTGTTAAAATCATGACCCCCGGGGGTAGGGCGGGGCCACAATAGGGAATCCAGGTTTTACATAGAAATATATAGAGCAAATCTTTAAAAATCTTCTTCTCAAGAACCACTGGATCAGGAAAGCTGAAACTTGTATGGAAGCATCCTGGGGTAGTGTAGATTCTAAAGTTTTAAAATCATAAAAGGGAAGGGGGTAGTGGGGCATGATAGGTATAGCAAGAGGGGAATCTGGTAAAGAACTGCATCACCCAAGTTACTCAGGTGAGCGATGTGGCCCATGGGCCTCTTGTTAACTAATACACGAGAACTGAAATGTTTCCAGAACGGTTCACTTTAGGTGAACTTTAGGAGACTTTAGGTTAATGTATTATTATACAGAATAGAATAGATTTTTATGTATGTTATTACATTCTGTTTTTAGATCATTATATGAGTTTGCATTCACTCCTGCAATATTTATTGCATTCTAAAGAGTGATTTTCTTTTTTGGGGAAACAATTTGTATTGATTTTGTTAAAACTTCCATTACAGTAATGACGATATATTCGAGAAAACTGATTTCCAAGTAAAATAAGACTTTATCGAAAAATCTAGAGCGCGTGATCTTGGCAAATCCCGGAAGATTTCTTTTCACGATTTGAATATTTTCTATCGCCTCGGTGTACGGAAAACACTTCTTAATTCTTCAGCGAAAGCGATCAAAACCGTTTAGAAATTATCAAGGGGCACTCAGCCTTTCTCATTATTCGTGTAAGCGCGTCATGGATTAACTGCACGTGCCCTGCATACGCCTCTGTGAGATTATTGGCTGTAAGGCCCCATTTACACCCTTTTCTCTTTAAGATGAGCTTGCGACACGATATTCATAGCTGTATATCGATCCCCTGGTCACTTTTAATCAGACTCGGTATTAGTTAACCGTGCACTGCATCGATAATTTGGCGAAAATTTGATAATCATCCCTCAATTTTTATCACCTTATGACAGTCTGTAAATCGTTTTTCTTTAAACACGTGTAAATATGTCAACAAATCCTGAAGCTTGAATCCGATGTAATAACAGAGAAAATTTAAATATTGGCATGACTTTTCTTTTAAATGTGATAAATTTCCTTTGGAAGCTGTTGTTTTTTTCCAGATTAGCACAGATTAAAAACGTTTACTTGGTTATACACGCCCTTACTTTTCGTTAAAAAAGTCTTAAATTGTTTTCATTTCGATTTATGGGGTGGAATGCAAATTGAAGAAAAACATCAAAATTAAAGAAGTGAAAAGTGATTTAGTATATTTCACGTTATCAAGGAAACAAAATTTGGGTTTAATAAAACGCTGATAAAAAAAGTGCTATTGACCCATTTCATTACGGATTCAATAAAGCCAATTTTAGTGCAAAAAAAATTTAAGTTGAACAAAACCCGTTAATAAACGTACACCATTTTCGATAATACTGTCTTCAATATAAGCACCTGGGTATACACTTTACATTCGTTACAGCTTACTGCTTTATTGCACGGGTATTGGCCTGAGCTGGTTATCTTGCATTACCCTTGTTTACAATTTATTGCATTAACGTGCGTTTGGTTGTCTACTGCTCTGACCTGTGCAACTGTTGTACGTTTCTTTGGCATCTTGCTCTCCTGCATAAGAAGTATACAATTATTTTTTGCTACCTGCTGTGAAGCAAACGTTCGTCTGTACAATGGTGGCGACTGATTACAGTAAACAGTGACTAAGTGAGCGGCATTATGTAGGGGCCCTCAGATATAGCGAGTAAAGAATCGAAAATGGCTGACAAATTCCTTTTACGAGCCGTATGCAGCTTTACCTTTAATTTAGTTTCAGGAATTTCAGGAACGTGAATATAGATATCACATTTATTTCCATTTCAGTGTAACACTAGCACCGATCAGCAATGCACCAATCAAGAATTCCGAAAGTACATATACTCAAATCCAGAGGCATTATGGGACATATTTCCATGTCCGCCTCCATGGAAACCAGAGTTGATACTAGAGTTGCCATGGAAAGAGAAACTGGGTGATGAAGATGGTGACAGATTGTGTAAAAAAGTGGCCCGGCGATGTGGCCTTGACCTTGTCAAACTACAAGCTATAGCTCTACAGGATGAACTTATTTTTAGCGACTGTGATATAAAATGCTTTCTCGGTCTTCTGCTGGGATTCCTGACATTGTGTCTCTGTGTGGTTATTGTAGTGGTTTTCTTCAGAAGAAGGTATGATTTTATTTTCTCGTATTATTTTAAGATTTAGGATTTACAATATATCTTTATGATTCGTAAAATTTATTTTGACTTTGATCCTTTTCCCTGTTGGTTATCATGATGAAACATTCATTGAATATGGTGTCCAGGGAGTGGGATGGGATCGGGCTTCATTTTTCTTGAAATTTCAAACTTATAAGTACATGTGTAAACACAGTAATTGAACTCTCCGTTTTACCAATGCACAATTTCATATTTATTAATAAAATCAAAAAAGGGTATTCAAATAATTTGAAATTTTTACTTTTCAGTTGAGAGATTTGAGATAAATGTGAAAGAAATCTCTTTTTACTTTTCAAACAAAAGTGTTTCCTTATTGGTTTTTGATTAATATTATTTGAAAGATATATAGCACCCGCAGGTAGAATCACTAATTAAAGAGAAAGCCGGTTTAATCTATAAAAGAAAAAAAAAATACATGTATTTTTCTTTTTAATTATTCCAGAAGAAAGAAATTTTCCAAAGTCCCAGATCAGAAAAATGAAACTCAGGTAAGTTCACTTACTAATGTCTTGAGCATTCTCTTTTTCAAATATTGTGTTATTTATAATGTGTTCAGCCATTATTTCTTTTTTTGAACAGGTCATTTTAACATCCAACGGAGTTCAAACAAAATTGATGAACGGGGAAAATAGTCCTGGAGCAAATGGTTCCCCTGAAAAGAAAGGAAAATTCAATATAGATTTTGCTCGATTCTGTCGTAGTGCCAATATTTATGAATCTGATGACGTGAAACGTCATCGAAACGACATTCCGGAAAATGCGTTTCTGAGTTCCCGAGACATGTCCTACATGTATGATTCGGTTAATTCGTGTGAACAAAGCCTCTCTAATAACCTGTCAGATTCATTTCATAACCGCTGTAATGAGGAAATGATATCAGAATTAAGGGAGAAATATGGATTTAGAAATTCTGAGTCATCGTCTGCTTATGAACCCCGTAGAGTAAGTTCCCCTGTATCCAATCTATTGTACGACATGCGAAGTCCAAATCCACCCGTAAGCAATGCTCTTTATCAAGCTAGACGCCAATGTGAGGTTAGTCCGACCAATCAAATCCCGCTTAATTGTCCGTGCAATATTTGTTGCCAATCCAATTCTTCAATTCCATACAGAGGACAAGTGATTAATTTAAAACAAAATTTTAGTGTTCAACTTCATGATTACCCCGTATCGTGTACGTGTAGCCCGAGAGAGTATCCAGACGAACACAAATGGAGAAGAAATGATGTTATTGAAAGATTTCCTTACGCAGACGACGTAATTAATTCAAGTGTTCAGAATCATTCCTTTTGTGATAGAGACCAAGGGATTTCGGACTTCCAGGTAAACAGTGCTTGTAGTTGTAAACAATGTGTTGAACAAAGGTTTTCTGTATCCGGAGAGGATTGTTCAAATTATTCGACAGGAAGTGACGTATATGGTGTGCCAAAAACGGAGCTGAATTATCCCAGGGAAATCCAGTGTAACTGTCGACAATGTACGAAAATGATTCCGATTGCTGCTTACACTAAACGGTTTTCTCAGACAGGGGAATATACACAAAGGGATAATGTCGACATGCAGTTTATGTTAGCAGGTGACACCATTGATAACGATGGACCAGAACATCGAAAGCGCAGGCGCAGTAAACAAAGACCACCCATATCGTCCACGGCTTCTTCATCCGATAACACCGGAAGTGAGAAATCTTTTAGAAGTGGTAAAATGAAGACAAACGGTTCCCTTTTCAATTCAAGATTCATTAGCAGATAGCCTCGGCGTTCTGTTGCATCACTTTGAATAAAACAAACGTGCAATGCATCTCTTAAGAATTTTCAGAGCAAGGATGTTGTTCAATCGAAGCTTTTGATGTCAAATTCCTTGTGCCCAATGTGTTCGCCTTTCTGCATTTATGTATTGTTTTAATCCATGAAAGTGCAATATATTAATTTTTTATAATGATTTATATTAGTTCAATTGAATGGGTTTTGGCTTTCATTGGATTCCAGCTGAAAGCTAAAATGTCACAAAATAAATGAAAAAAGCCAAGTATTTGTTTCTACCTTCGGTAAATTATTATGGTTGTCATGCATGGTCAAAAGACATGTTTTTCAAACTGATGGCGGTCAGTTGTTACGAAATTAAAGTGTTTTTTAGAAAGCGGTCACCAAAGTCATTATGGATCAAGTTAGGTTTTATTGAGTTGGTGTGCCATGGTTCCTGAACCTGTCGAACTTTAATACGTCTTGATTTTCGGAAAAAATCTTTGTAAATCAAAGAACTAAAGGGCATCAAGAGAGCATTTCACCCCATTAACCCAGTGAGTCTAGCAAGACTGTAGGCCCGCCAGGCATGCATACTCCTGGCGTCCGTAAAAAAATTTATGTACCGTTTCAAATGAAGTTTGTGGGGGGAGAAGGGGAGAATATACTTGAATCTCCTACTCTGCCTGTCTGTAGACATACTTTTGTATTTTGGTCAGAGATATATGGAGGGATAATCTCTAAAACCATGGATTTTTTTTATTCAAACTATGTATAACTAATGTATATACCATTTGAATTGTAGGAGTACTTGTCTCTGAAGCAGAAGAAAATGCTTTAGAGCTCCAATAAATTGCCAGGGGAAAAGGTTATTCTTGACTAGAGGGAATGTTAAACCCTATGCATAAAGGTCATTGGGGGGAAAATATCACTGGATTTGAAGTGTACTTGTGTTATGCCAAGTAACGGAAATCAGACTAAAACTGTAGGAAGTACTGAGTATAGCGTTTTAAAGTAGACTAGACTAAGATACAAAAATTATTTTTGTATTTGATTTCAATAGAGAAAATAGTATTGTCATGGTTGCTAAAAATAGAAAATTTCTTTTTAAAATCCTTTAAAATGCTTCTCCTCATACATACAACTTTTGTCTGATTCTTGCAAGTCTTTACTTTTTTGCATGGGTTTTTGATTTTGATAAATGATGTTTCCGTAACTACTAAAAATAAATATTTGTTATAAAAGTTGTTTTAAAAGAATACCCTCATAGATTTTTAAACTGCTTGCAATAAATATTGCGGCAAAGCAACTGAATCAAGGACCATTAACCTATGTATTGCTGTTGCATAGTTTTAAATGCAAATGCTGGTAGTATTTATCTCTCACTCTGGTAGAAAAAAAATACAAACCAGTAGAGCTACAGTCTCGTCAGAGACTCCTGCTTAACGCTACGTACCCGAATTAGATATAAAATATACATTAAATGTTGATCAAAAGACTTATCGAGAGATAGAATATACTGAATTGAGGGACAGAACTAACCGCAAGTGGCTATAGAGTTTCCCTTTTTGACATCACCTTGTCCCTGATTGTTCCATCAATGTTGGTGCAATTGAAAGAAAACAAGCAAATTCAAAGAATTGTGGTACCCCGCTTTCGGTGTCTTTGTGAGTGAGATGTCATTTTTTATGACACATTGTCTCAAATATGAACGCCCTAATATATGTCATTTAGAAAATATCACTGAAGTTGATTTTTTTAAAAATAAGGTCAATCTTGGAGGTCAAGGTCAATGGGTTACAAATCATAGCATTCTTGGAAATATATTGTCACAGGTAATGCACATGTCAATGCATATGAAAGCCATATTTTTTCTCAATATAAGGAACAAGGTGTGTTTGTGAAACACTGATGACCCGTATGGCAACATAGCGAAGATTAAACTTTTCTTAAATGCAAATTAAATATATTATTTCTCGAAGGTCAAGGTCATTCATGATATCCAATGAAAGCTCTTTTCACAAGGATTAAATATTTGAAACATGAAAGCCTTAGCCCTAACCATTTGAAAGTTATGGTCAGGGTTTGTTTTTAAAAGTAGGTTAAACTCCAAGGTCATAGGGTCAAAGTTCATGGTATCTAATGAAAAGGCCTTTGCACATGGATTACATATCTGAAGTATGAAAGCTCAAGCATTTACCATTCAAAAGTTATGGTCAAGGTAAAATTTTTTTCAAAAGTACGGAAATCTCCAAGGTCAAGGTCAACAGGTCAAAGTTGTTGGTATCTAATGAAAGGTCTTGCCACAAAAAATGTAGATGTGAAATATTAAAGTCCTAGTATATATTTTTCAAAGGTAATGGCCGGGGTTAAAGTTTTAAAATGTAGGTCAAACTCCAAGGCCAAGGTCAAAGGGTAAAAGTTTTTGATATCCAATGAAAGATCTTGTCACAAGGAATAAATATATGCAGTATGAAAGCAGTAGTCCTAACCCTTCAAAAGTTATGGTCAAGGTACGTCTTTTTAAAAGTATGTCAAACTCCAAGGTCAAGGTCAAAAGGTCAAAGTTCTTTGTCTTCTCACATTAATTACATTTGTGAAGTATGAAAGCCTTATCTCTTACCATTCAAAAGTTATGGCCAAGGTTAAAGTTTTTTTTTACAAGTATGGAAATCTCCAAGGTCAAGGTCATCAGGTCAAAGTTGTTGGTATCCAATGAAAGGTCTTGCCACAAAGAATGAGTATGTGAAATATAAAAGTCTTAGTACATATTGTTCAAAAGTTATGGCCAAAGTTAATGTTTTTAAAAAGTAGGTCAAACTCCAAGACCAAGGTCAAAGGGTAAAAGTTTTTGATATCCAATGAAAGATCTTGTTACAAGGATTAAATATATGCAGTATGAAAGCACTATAGCCCTAACCCTTTAAAAGTTATGGTTAAGGTATGTTTTTTTAAAGTGGTACCACCAAATTTGACCTTTTGACCTTGACCTATTAGTTAGACCAACTTTTACATAAAAAATCCAAACTTTTACTTTGGCCATAACTTTTGAATGGTAGATACTAGGACTTTCATATTTCACATATGTATTTTTGTGGCAAGACCTTTCATTGGATACCAATAACCTTGACCTATTGACCTTGGAGATTTCTGTACTTGTGAAAAAACTTTAACCTTGGCCATAACTTTTGAACGGTAAGAGATAAGGCTTTCATACTTCACATATTGAATCAATGTGAAAAGACCTTTCATTGGATACAAAGAACTTTGACCTTTTGACCTTGACCTTGGAGTTTGACCTCCAAAGAAAGGTCTTGTCACAAGGAATATACATGTAAAATATGAATGTCATAGCTCCACTTAATCAAAAGTTATGGGCAAGGTTAAAGTTTTTGTGACGGACGGATAGACGGACAGACTGACGGACAGACGAATGAGATTTAATGTCCCCTCGCTTTCGCGAAAGCGGGGGACAAAAAACAGATATAATTCAATTATAAAACAGTTTTTACAAAACCTTCCTTTCTTGCAAGATCATGATCTACGTATGTACAATTTCTAAAACGAGGTAAATTTTTGACAAACAAGTTGATGAAATAAGAATATCAGCAGTCTCGTTTAAATTCATATCATTTCGTTAGTTCTATGGTCGATGTAAAGACCTCGTCAGCAAATACAATTTATCATTGAGTCATGGCTGACTGACGTTTTTCATACTAATTGTTAGTCCATTATTTTACACTGAATTGACGACGGATTTTCCGTTATTTTCCGATCATGACAAGGAGCACACGGCGGGTGTGCCCGGTCGGCATGGGATGCTCACTCCTCCATGGCACCTGATCCCATCTCTGATGTTTTGGAGGTTCATGTTTGTTCTGCTTCTATTTAGTATTGTTTAATGGACTTTTGAGCTTGATTACTGTTCGTTTTCTCCATATTTATGCGCCCGGATCGAAAGATCCGTGACGTGTATTATTTTTGTCCTGTCTGTCTGTTTGTCTGTTTGACTGCAAACTTTAACCTTCGCAATAACTTTTGAACCATGAATGATATAGAACACTTATATTGGTATGCCTACTTCTCTGATAAAGCTCTTTCAAATGACACCAAGGTCAATGACCTTGTGACCTTGACTGTGACCTATATGCTAAATAAAAGAGGTTTTTTGCAAACTTTAACCTCTGCCATAACTTTTGAACCATAAAAGATAGAGACTTCATATTTGGTATACAAACAACACTTATTACGCTTTTTTAAAAGACACCATGGTCAATGACCTTGTGACCTTGACTGTGGCCTATACGCTAAATAAAGCTTTTTTGACGGCAAATTTTAACCTTCACCATAACTTTTGAACGAAAAAAGATGGAGACTTAATATTTGGCATGCATACTTCACCAATGAAGCCCTTTCACAATGACCTTGTGACCTTGACTGTGTCTTATATGCTAAAAATAGCTTTTTTGAACCTTCACCATAACTTTTGAACCATGAAAGATAGAGACTTCATATTTGGTATGCGAACTTCACTAATCAAGATCTTTCAAATGACACCAAGATCAATGATCTTGTGATCTTCACTCTGACCTTTATGCTAAAAATATGTTTTTTTTTTAAATTTGTTGCTGCCGGGCGCATAGTGTTTCACAAACACATCTTGTTTTCATTGCAATTAACCCATCCACTGCAATTTGAGATACACCTGTACAAGGTTTATTATCATGGTGCTTGTTGATTAAGTTAAATTCGCATTTTGGGGGAGTTGGGGGATTTTGCTTAAATGGTTACCATGTTACTACGTTGTATTACTTTACGGTAGGATTTTTTTACAACATACGAAAAATCAGAGAAATCACACTCGACTAACCCTTGAGGACAAAAAACTCCAGATACCAAATCGAGGGTTATCACAATTTGTGTTTTTCTACAATAGGCCGAGGGTGTTGTCTAGACGAATTAACACGAGAGGTCGAGTTTTCTATTAACAGTTAATCTTTTTGTCCAAAACCCCAAAAACATATACTCAATATCTATCGGAACCGATGGGTGTTTCCTGAAACCAGTGTGGTTTTTTTGATTGTACCGACAATCTTATCTTTGTTTTGTACTAAATTTTCAAACATGATAGGGTTTCCCATTTTATGTCCTTCTCTTTCTTCATTTCCGAAAAAAAAACATGGGTCATCATTCATTGAAATAAAAGTTCATTACCTACTTGCGGTTTTGGGTTTTATAAAAATTGAAAATCATTGAAAATTTTAAATTACAATTTACCCCTTCTTG